GGCTCTGTGCCTGACTTTGTAAAATATCAGCATTTATTTCATATTTCATTTTCCATTTGAAGAATCCACTACCAAAAATACTCTGCTCACCCAGGTTCTCTAGAGCCTGTCATAAACGAACAACACTCGCTCACCTGCTGCACTGTATTGGGGGGCACTGTCTCTGGGAAACGGAAGTGAGGGAACAATGGAAGTGAGGCAGGCAGTGGAGAAGGGAGCATATATGTGGGTGGTACTGGGATGGCCATAGCTTTGGGACAAGTGCAGTTAACTTCTGGGTCTTTCAGGATATTTTTGTGGAGTCCTTATTGAATTGCACTTCATAATAGTCCATCTGGGAAAAGGAAGGGAGAAGAGCTTACCTACCAGCGCCCTCTTGTGCTGCGTCTCTTTAGTCAAAACTCATCCCTCAAGTAGGGGTGTCAGATTCAGGGGCAAAAAAGTCCCACATGGTATTTGTAACAGCATTACACTAAAAAGTTATTCGTTGTTTGTCTACAGTTCAAATGTATTTTAACTGGCAACTCTACTCTCAGGACATTAACACCCATGCATTTTCAGGGGGCTGTTGGGAGAAGCCAGAGTCTCCACAGAGCCTGGGGATGGGCACCGGGGTCTGTTTCTCCTCCTCGGTATGGCAGTGTGGCGGTGGCAGCTGTAGCAGCGACATGGCACCTGCAGGGTACTGGCAAGGAGGCAAGGTGAGAGGCAGAGGCAACGAAGCGGAGGGGTGGGGGCAGGAGGATGTAGGCTTAGCTGCACGGATGTGGGGTGATACCTTCATTACGCTATCTCGTTAGTATCTATAGGACCGTACTGCACTAGACACTGGGAGTATGCTCATGAGTAAGACACCTGGAGTTTACAGAATATAACTTGAATATTATGTTGAATTCTGATTTAAATATATCTAATGAATGCTGGTGAAATAACTTTAAGACTACCACTTCATGAGAAGGATGTTTTTCTCAACGATGACTTTAGCAAAAACAAACAATGCCCCTCCCAACCCAGCCCCCAAACTGTTACATGTATTGCTTTTTGGGTGCTTCTAAAAAGAAACAGAAAAGTATTAGATGGCCTCCATCAATATTGGAACAAGTATTAAGTAAGAAAGAAAAATCCATATGTATATATTTCAGAAAAGAAGTTAAAACCCATTAAATAGTACTTTTTATTTAGATGTTTATAAGGCAGATTTATGAGAATGATATAAAAACATGGCATATAATCAGATAGCAATATTTTGGAGATAACAAAGTTTTAGCAAACATCTATTACACAGTTATAAGGAAGACTGTTTTCCAAGCAGACACAAAATACCTAATGAAAGAGCAAGGCAAGAAAATGAGTACAATTAATTAACAACAGAAAATCAATTCTAATGTGAATTGCACATTATCCTTTAAAAACTTCTAAAGGTATACTTATTGCAATCTAGTTTATTCAAACAGTGTTAAACGGTATCATGACAAAGAACTGATGGCCAGAGTGGATTAGTCTTGACTTCATATAAAGAAACCCACGTTTACAAGGCTTAACTACAGGAAAAGGCAGTCCAAATAGTGAAGTAATCAAGATCTTTTGGGTCTCTAACATGCCTTCCTTAGGTTGTGGCCTTGGTCCTCCTGTTATAGCCACAACTGCAGCAACAAGGTAGAGAAATAAGATCAAGAACATATGCTGCTTTCCTTCGAAGAGACTTCCAGGGAATCACTCACATGTGCCTCTACCTCTTGCTGGCTAACACTCATGGGAACAGCTAATGTCAGGGCAGTGGAGGAATGTGATAGGCAGCAGCTTTTAAAGAAGTAGGGTAACTAGACATTGGGAGACAACTTCCAGTCCCTGTTCAGGCTGGATATCTGCAAAGCTATGAAAGACCTTTGACCTCAAGATAATTCTTCCTTGAAGTTGGCAATTTGGAAATCATACAAAAGCACCTGCTTTGGTGATTTAATTTAGCCCACTAGTCACTGGGAAAATCCATACAGTCTGCCCCAATTTTGAATGGTGCACGAAGGAAAGCCAATAATTTGGAAAGTTAAAGAAATCTCAGTATGTATGTATTTTAGGCTGAACTAAACGTTTTTTGATATATGGACAGAATCTCCGAATATTAGCACTTTAGGATTCTCTCACATTGAAAAAAATTAAAGAACCTATTCATTCCCATAAAATTCAGTATTCAAAGGTAAGAACAGATTGTTTCCACTAAAATTATTAGTTTCATTTAGAGCAATTACATATACTGAATATACACCAGAATTTGTTTTACTGACTTACGAACAATTGAGGGTAAAGCATCTTATTTTCATGAAAACATATCACAAACACAAATCTTAACACTGGACTGAGCTGTGTTATACTTTGTGTAACACTGCTGTAACTCATGGATTTGAAAAATAATTTCACCATGACATTTTAGGATGTTTAAATACCTATTTCAAGACAGATTTTATAGAGTGACACAGGTTCAGTGTTTATAGTGTTCTTAAAGACTTATGAATTACATTTATGGTACTTTATTTAAAATATCACATAAGAAACCTTAAATTTCACAAACAAACCTCTTTTTGGTAGAGAAAGTCTCTGTACAGAATTTATTATGAAATAGTTTAGTGGCAAAAGGCAATTAAAAAGAATTAAGGTTTTATCATATTTCATAAGAGATAATATGAAAATTGGATATGATGTATTCTTGAAGCCCTTTTATACAAATAATTTTCATAAGTTGTAAGTATGAATATACTTTAAGTTACTATTATCAAATTAATTTTGAAAGTAAAATTCCTTAATCAAGTCAATATTATGCTAATTTATTAGAAATTAATTGGGTGACCTAACATTAGAGCTCTTTATCCAATTCCACATGTAACACAAAATAACTATCTCTGATAAATACCTATAAATATAATTTATTCATACTTCAAAATACTCTAACATTTAAATAAAAATCTCAACAGGTAGATAATTGGGACTAAATTTCCATACATGCTTGAAAAATATATGTTAGCATGAATATATTCTTATTTAAACATGACTTTAAAAATTCCTAATAGAGGAGATGTATGAAATTTGCACACCAAGCTAAGTAGCAAGATTCAGTCCTTGATTATTTTCCTCTTAGGAAAAAAACTACTCAATTTTTTTCCATAGGATTAAGACTAGGTATATTTTCTACATTCTTATAATTTTCTCAAGGGCACTTCTCAAAATACAGATTAAGAAACAAATCCCTGCTACTTTAAGTTCCCATACTTTCTCACATTGAGCAATAACAGAATTCAGCCCTAGTTCTGAGGCCAGAATAATGATTTTTTAAAAATGATTATGAGAAGTAAAAATTAAGAAAAATAATCAGGTTGTAAATCATAAAATAAAGCAATTAAAAGTCAATTAAATAAAGCAATTAAAAGTTAATTGATATTTTTGCATTTTAGGTATTTAGAATTATAATGAATATTTTATATTTATTTTGAAACTCCAAAATTTCTTCATCTTTGTAGTACTTAAAAGGAGTAGTACTGAAAACATTACTATTTTAAATTTACATCTTATATATATTTTCATAAATTTTGTTTTTTCATATTTTCAAAGGTCCCATTTATCTGTGTAGTGATTTTATTTATATTACTAGCTACTTAATCTATACATGCAATGATGTACTTCAACAGTCATCTAACTTTTAAAAATATTTCCTTGTATTTCACGTTAAATGGTGAAAACATGGTCTTAAGAGAGTGAAACCTTAAGGAACAAGAAAGTATTGAAAAATATGCTGTTAATTTCACTTGTCCACTACAATAGTCTATAGGTGTTACCTTTAAAAGTTATCACCCAACTGAATTCCTACTAAGAATAACAAGCAACTGACTATCAAGAGAGGAAGCATATAATTAAAGAAAATAGAGAGGTCAGTTAAAAAGTACAAGATAATTAAGATTCACCCAAAAGAGAACATCCAAGAATCATGAGTGATTTACCAAACACATGGTGCAATAGCAGAGAAGGAGCCATTGTCGGAAAGGTAGCTTCCACTAAGTAATTCAGTGGTACCTCAGTGGGTAAGCTGAGAAATGTTATAATTTCAGGATATTTAATTATATAATGCATATAATTTACCTTGTCTATAACTTTCTATTTTAATAAGGAAAGAGCATATGGGAAAAAAATGTAGGGCATTCTAACCAAAGTTTGAACAAAATGCAACTTTAATGGGGAATGTCAGCACTGAAAAATTTTATGAATAATTTGTATGATTATATGTCTCTAGAGTAGATTTGTAGTTAATCACTTATCCTAATATCCTTCATTCTTGCAAAATGCTCCCTAATGAATGGCTGAGTGGGCAGGAGTTCTCAGGAAGAGATAAAGAGATGACCAACTTTACAGAGACTTTTTAAGATTCTGTAAGACCTCAGCCAGTCATTAAAACTGCCATGGTCCTATCTCTGCTGGAGTCCTGGACAGGGAGGCATATGGACCACCATGAGTCTCTGGGGTGATGGCCCAGGCAAGATCCTTCCCCTGGGTAAGTAACTGTGGATTATCCCACCAGCAATAATAAATGTATGATTGTAACATTTTCATATATCTTTTGACACCCACAACAAACTGTAAAGAATGTCAGTGCCTTTATACAAAAGAAGCATCTAGATTGGCATTATAAACATAATGCATAGGGATGGAGCAGGGATCATACAGCCTAGTGGCTAAAACCATAGCCTCTGAAATGTGAGTGCCTGGACTTGAAGGCCGGCTCTGCCACTTACTAACTTCATGACCTTGGCAAATAACTTAACTTTTCTGTTCTTCAGTTTTCTCATATGTGAAATGAGGATATAACTATATCTGTTATGAGGTTGTTTTAAGTATTAAATGGGGTAATACAAGTAAAGTGCTTAGAACAGTGCCTGGCATGTCAATAACCCCTCAGTAAAAGTCAGCAAAATTCTATACGATACAGCATGGTGACTGGCTAAGGTGCAACAACATAGATCAGCTGACAAACAACTATTTGTGTGTAAACTTAACACTTTCCCTCTACCTAGAAACAACTATAAGATTTCCAAGATTGGTTCTACATTAGAAAAATCAGTTGTGGAGGCCAAATATTACTGTCTTCTTTCTGATCAACTTAATTAATAAGCAAATGAAATTGTAACAAGATAAAGAATAAAATCTTCCATGAGGTACATATGTATTTCAGTGTCAGTACATATTTAGTATATATTTCATGTCTCCAATGCATTTTAAATACAATTTCAGGTTCCATTTGTCTTTCTAATTTGTGTTTGCTCACAAATCACACTGGTTCATATAATTAATTACATTCTTCAAACCAAATCTCATGAGAAAAATATAGGAATGTTACCATGCACCCATACCTAGATGCCAATGTAATGTGTCCTTTCTTAAAAATAATATGTGATTATGCATTTCTATTTCTTAAGCTGGATAATAATTAAAACCTCACTTAAGCCTCTGGAAAAGACATATATCCATTGAATTATATGAAAACTTAAAATTCTGCTGGTTTACAAAGTTTTTTTTAACATTATATTATATATATATATATGTAATAATATTAACTACAAATATTTGTACCTGATAATGGAATATAGTTTGTTAAAATAACAACAGTGATATGATTGTGCAAAACAAGACAAAACACAGCTAACTTTTAACAATAAGTTGACTATGAAAATTCATATTGGCAAAATACTACGTTTGTGAAAATTAATTTGAAGAAAATTCTACCATTAATTCACTTGAGATCTCATTGAACAGGTTTCAGCCCAAAGTAATTTGACAATGCACTTGCAAATGAACATAAAGGCAGTCATAAAAATAATGGCATGAGTCGAACTTTATATGCCATTGGCAAGCACCATTTACCATCACATTACTGTAACCCTCTCTGGTGAGAGATGAGGAACTGCTCCTCCAACACCTTCTTCTAGAAACTGGCTCTTTTCCCAGCCTTTTTTAATTCTCTTTAGCTTTCGGTTTATACATGGAAGGAGTAAAATGATCTTACCCAGAATTACAACTGAGGGCAAAACAAGAGCAAGAACAAAGTTTGGTGGTGTATAAAACCTGTAGTATTCTTCCTCAAAAGCTTGTTTCCATCCATAAATTAAAACATGGAAAGTACTTATGAGCAGAGCGACATATCCAAGTGTAGACTTAGGGTAGGTGGGAGAGAAAAAGCAACAAACTATTTATTCACATTCATAAGTTAACCCATCCAGCTATACCATATTTATATCTTGATAAAATTATCTTAAATTATTGAGGTATTCTTTTTTCTTTTCTAAATTGAATAACTTTAATGTTTCAATATATTTCATAAATATTTATATATTTATATGCATGTGTTGTTTATGCAAATAAGGCCATATTGTATATAGTTGCTTATAGTTTAGTATTCTGGTTATTTTATTTATTATATCAAGAACCTGTCTTCATGTCATTAAATATGAAAACATGACTTTACTGCTGGATAATATTCTATTGAATGGATGTGCTGTTATTTACTTAATCATTCCTTTTTGTTAATCATTTACTATTTCCAACTTTCCTCAATTTTAAATAATGTCACTTTAAGCCCTTTTCTGTATTATGGCTTATTTCCTTAGAACTGATTTTTAATAGTGGGAATACCAGTCAAATCAGCTGACTTTTCCTTAAGGGTATTGATAAAAACTGTAAAACTTCTTTATAAAGATTATCCACTTCCCACCAGTTGTGTATATTTAAAAAAAAAAGTGAATGTGTACATATGTATGCACATGCATATATATAAATATACATATATAATTAAATGTTGAAGAGTATTTCCATGGGTATATGCCCATACCCACTCCAACATATATACTAGTTGATGATAAATAAGAAAATCTTACAGTATTAATATGTAATATAAATAGCATTTCAAACATGTGGCTTTATTGGCCATATTAAATCAACTATTTAAAGTACTTCAGTTAAGCAGATTAAAGGTTAAACTCTAGGAGATCAGCATTCCCATTCCTTAAATTATTATGTTCTATTGCTTACTTTGAGAAATGGTCTATGTTACATAAAATATAATATTACATCAGTATAGTGATGTAATGTCTAATCTCAATGGGAAAGAATCAACTCTCTAGGAGAAAATTGTTCTGTTCGCAGTTACTCATCTAAATTTATAATGTAATTTGCACCCGTCTAGCACCTTCTACCAGAGGGCCTCCTATTTCTTTTCAGGTGTTATTAAACTAGCAGTTGGGAAAGTATTCATATTTTGTTTCCTTCAAAAAGGAAAAATGAATTTAGACAAGCAATATGCCCTTAATTTGCATGAGATTTTTAGATGACTTAAAAAAGAAAAAAGCTCAAACATATAGACAACAAAACCCCAGAAAATTAGGGTAACCCCAAACAATACTCATCTGCATCTTATGCTGTAAAGCATTTGGATACAACCAATACTGACTTTGTGATAATACAGGTAGAGTCTGAGTCTGAGTTATATATTTTCAAAATATGCAAATTTATTAAATAGCTATTACTGGAGAAGGTGAAGTTTAACTTGTTAAAGATCACAGTACTGTGTTGAAACCCCTTTATAGATACTCATATACATATTTTACAGGAGATCTCTTAAATACACGAACTAATAATGTTCATAAGGCTGATTGCTTGTCATAATCCATTATCCCAGCTACCCAGTTTGCCATTGCTGTGCATGTGTGTGTAAACACATACATTTCTTTTAAAATATTCAGACTGAACTCTTTCCACTTGAATTCAAATTAATGAGCTTTTTCTGGACAGACCAAGATGATTCAAAATATAATTCTTCATTACTTGTGCTAATTATAAATTGACTTTTGGTATTAAACTTGATCTAAGCTCACTCATCCACCACTTCCATTTTTTTTTTCTTTTTGAAATAATCTTTACTGGTAAATAGTAGGTAGTGCTATCCAAGCCTCCCCATACAATCCTATATTGGTTTTTCACTTACTAAACCAGAATGGTCCTAAACTGGCCTCCAGCAATATGTGCTCCCCAAGCTAGATGCAAAAATGCAGTCCCAAAGGCATATGAGGAATATATTTAAAATTCACCTACATGAAACACATTAAATCTATGCTGCCCAGTCCCTCACCAAACAAAACCCTACATACCTGAATAAAACTGAATTCCCTCCAGTTTAAAGCATTGCTCACTGAGGGGATAGAGGTGACTGCCAGGAGGGACAGCAAGCCAAGACTCATTATGCCAAAGGAGATATACATTTCAATTCTCCAAACTTCTTCCTCGTTCCAAGAGTTTTCAATATTTGCGTGAACCTAACAGGAGAACAAACATGAATTTCCTTTATTTGGTAGAACATTAACTGATTCAGTAGAGTTCACACTTGGCATAAGAATATGTCATACCTGGGTATATTTAAGTTGTATTATTTTAACTTAGCGAACTGTTACGGAGAACGTATTACTGGATGATATTGTTCCAGGTCTGGGGGAAGAGACTGGACAGTTGAACAAAAATAACGGAACTAAGATTCTCTCCTTTCCTGCATACACGTGAGAAGACTGGGTAAACCTGTCATCACATTTGTAATACACCAAAGTTACAGGGACTCTGGAGTCCTCACACCACGAAAGCCGAAGTGTTTGGTTTCAGGGTGGCACAAAATAAGTATTGGCAGTTAGACTTCATTTTGAGGTACTTTCACAAGTTGTTTAAACTTGGTTGATATTTTGGGTACATTCTAGCTTTAGTTCAACTTAGAATCCAGGAAAGAAATTTCTAAATTATGTCTGTATCTTCCTCTCTCACATGAAGAATACTTATATGTTGATTTATGTCTTTCCTCTTGCTTTATTTTCCCTAGGAAGCTGAAATTTCCCTAAGGATAAAGACCTACCGAATGCAAATATTTATGCACTTGAATTGCCTCATTAATATACTGTTCCAACTGTCCAGTTGCCTCATTTCTACATAGTACATTCCCACACGTCTTTCGCTTACACCGATAATGCATATACAAACAAATAAGGATTGGTTAACTCTAGATGTGTGCTATTCTGCATAGGGACTACTTTTAGAATTTCCTATTTACATGCAAACAATATAATTACAGTAATAAATCAAAGGTTATATTCCTTGGGCTACAGCTTTGATTAAAGGAAATATCTATTCTTGGAAAACAGATTCTAACAATACCAGCTTAACTTTGTCCAGTTCCAAACATAACTTGAAATTAAAATAAAAAAGAAAAGCTAGTGCTTAGCCATTAGGTCCCTTGAGAAATCATCCCCTGTCCTGAAAAAAGCCACAGAGTTCCTTTGTGGAAAAGGCTCTTATTACCTTATTTGATGTTTGTACAACAATACAGAATATCTCTATTTATCTAGAGATTACAACCTGGATCTACCTGCCCTCCCAGTTCACTCATTCACCCCACAAATATACTTCTCGAGTGTCCATTATGTAGCCAGGCACAGGTCTGGGCATAGGCAGATACCAATGAACAAAATGGACAAAGATCCTTCCTCTTATGAACTTACATTCTGATGAGAAAAGGTGGATGAGTACATATAATAAACAAAAAAACCCATGAAGTGTGTTAGAAGGTGGTAAATGCTGTTGCAGAAAGAGAGAGTAGAGAAGGTAAGTGGGCCTGGGAGGACTGGAGGTGAGTCAGAAGCAGGTAGCAGAGTTTAAAGTGGTGTACCCGTAGGGCTCACTGAACAGGTTGTGAGCAAACAACTTGAACGACCAAGGAGGGAGCTGGGCAAGCAGTCATTTAAGAGAAGTGGTATTTTTAGAGAAACGATGGCTTAAATCACATTAATGTATTAATTTTTTTTCCAATTATTTTAGGTTGAAATTGTTGTAACAGACCTAAGTATTAGATGCTGCCTACTTGGATCATGATGCCTTGACTCCTTATGAGATGCAAAAGCTTCTCCCTCATTTGCGCAGTGTCTTCGGTATCCACGGAGGCATGCTACATCAAATGATTTCAGGGAAGCCCTTTATATTACATTCGCTGAGTGGGTACTATTGGGGAAAATCAGTCTACTCCATCACCAAGTGCCTTCAATGAATCCTGAGGTTTTCTGGAAGAGCTAAGTGCTAGAAAAGCTTCTACAGAGGAACTAGTATGTTTCCTGCTTTTTTGATAACAAAAACCGTGCAAGTGTGCATCACTTGATCTTGACTTCTTACTCTGTTTTATATTTTCACTGGTTCTAATTTATTGTATATGTGTAGTGAGAGTGGCTTTATCATTTGTAGAGCATGGCCAATTATAAAACATTAAAAATTTAACTATCAATGCTGAAAGCAATCATTGCAATTAGAACATTACAAACGAAAACAAAAAACCCAACCCTTCACTGCTCTGCTTTTATTCTACAAAGAAAGGGATGATAGCAGCTTTTCCCCCCAAAAGATTTTGGATTAGCCAAATAATTCTTAGGCAGAAGCATCATTTAAACTTTTTAAATATTTTAAACAATATTCTAAATATACTAAAATTTTCATTACATACTAAATTTGTACATTATTTTAAATCCTTATGTTCTACAAATTATACTAATAAAGTATTTTCCTAGCATCAGACAGATAACAAGCATTTTCCATACCTGCTGATAAGCCATGTTGAGAAACAAGTATCTCTCTGACCTTCTCATTGGTAAGCAGAGGCTGTAGGCAACATGGACCGAAGCAAAGAAAAAACTTAGTAATCCAAGCTGTTTTCTACACTGTAACCAGGTCTCCAACCAAGGTGGAAATCTCCTATACTTGGTGCCGTAATAAAGCTGATAAGCAGCTGCCAAGAGACCTGCTAGGTATACCAGGGATAGCAAAGTAATGGCAACTATGGGCAAGGTTTTATTCACAATCTCAATAGGAATCTTATAAAAGTCACTCTGCTGGTTTCTTGCATATGGATGTATAACATCTCTGACAAAGGAATAAAGAAAGAAAAATGTGGCCAGGCTTATGGCTACCACCACTGGCCCTCTCCAGAGGGTAAAGAGCCGCAGGGGTAAATTTTCAATCTCCCTGGCTGATGATAATGATCCCAGGTCAACAGGAATGAAATTCAACTGACGGGCAAGTTCAATAACCTGTTGTCGAGCTTGAACATTGTTGCTGCATATATAAACCTGTGGCAAAAACAAAAGACTCATCATTATTATTGCTGTTTATAAAAATGTTAACAATCACACACTCCACTTAATCTATGGAGCATCACTTGTGATAACGTGAGTGGTGCAAAAAGTTACGGAGATGAAAGCACTTAATAGGTTAACATAGTGTCACAAAAGTAGCAAAGTTCTTGCTGTTGTGATGGAGGAAGAAAGTTTCTGGAACTCATGGTTCATTAATAGTGGTGAGGCAAGGTCTCTCCTCCAACAGTCTAGGTGGAGTTTGAGCTGCTGGCCAGGCCTGCCTGCCTTGCTCTGCTGGGAACACGGTGGGGCTGGCCCTCCAGGTTTTGTGGTCAATATTTAGTTCTAGAACCCCAGTGATTGTGCCCAGTAGAGTGATTACAAGCATTGCCCTTTACAGATATTCAGCAAGAGGGAAGGTGGATATGGACTCTGGAGAGTGAAATTTGCAATTAAAATCTCTAAGTCATATCATGATGCTGGACTATTTATAAAATTCATCTTTGGTTTAGTAGACAATTTGTCAAATATCTCTGAAAAATTATCAATATCTCAAGTATATTATATCATCGATCAGATACAAAATTCTTTCATCTTCACATGATGATAATACAGTTGGTGGGGGGAAAAGTGGTATTATAAAGCTTAGTTAATTTAAATAATGAAGCCATTTTCTAAGGCTGAGGTGGTACTTCTATAGTAACTCTAAAGATTTGATGGGGGAAGTGAGAGTAGGCTTTCAAACTATCAAAATCTCTTAGATGTAGTACTGCAGTTGAGAATTCAAAAAATATTTGTTGAGCAAGAAATTTATTGCTGGGGTGAGTCACTATTACATATGGGTAGGTCATGTTATTTAGGGCTAGAAAAATATTGCTATAAAAGTCTCTGAGTAATGTTTGGGGAAAACAAATTCCTAAATATACCCCTGAAGATTGTTATATAAGGCCCTGGACCAGACCCCTCTGAAATATTTGCATGCTAAACCAATTTACTTATGATAACAATATAGAGCTTCTTTGACTATAAATTTTGCCTGCCATTAGCCAGATGAATGACAAAGTCTCTACTAATATACAAATGTTCATGAACTTCTAAAATGGAGTGGGGAAGAATACCTACATACCAGATAAATAAGGAAAAGCATTCTAAATTAATTTACTATGGTGCTGACAATGGTGAAGTAAACTTTTTAAATTAATTGGGAAAGAAACCTATAAATTATAAAATATAATAATAAAACTAAAGGTATAAACTATTCATAATAAGGGAACAGGGCTGTGAAATACAAATGAAACTATTTCTGTAGCTCACTTCAAATTTAATCATTGTTCCTCAATTTTTTCTTTTTTTCGGTTAAAGAAATAATTATTACAAATATGGGCAAAGGATTAAATTAAGGCTTATCCCTAATTTGGTCTGTATACATTGTTAAACTCTGGTGGATATGCAACCATAAAAAAAAGAAAGAAAAGGATTCAGAAATAGCCTCTGGGGAAGTTGGAAAGTATCTGTTCTTTAATAGTCTTTCAAATTAAAGACTTGGAAGCGAATGGTTATCATGACTCTAATATGCAGCCTACAGTGATGTCATAGTTAACTTTATTTCCTAAGGCATCTAATCAACTGTCTTTAAGGACAAAAATAATAAAACTATTTTATTATCATTCTTGATTATAATGTGTAACCACACTTTAAAAGATTAAGCTATACTATTTTACATTTTTACTTATACAGGCTCTCTTTCCACAAAGGCACCGGTGGAGCTCCCCATCTGCTTTGTTCTCAGATGGAGCACAACAGAACCACCCATGGAGTAAAGAGAACATAAGCAATCCCATCTGCTTCTACCTTCCCCACACAGATTAAAATTTACACTGAAAAATAAACTGCTATTTTAAATTCCATTGAGTAATCTCCATAAAATAAAAAGGTGCTTCAAAGAGTTCTTCTTGAAGTGCACACCGGTGATATTGCATACAGAGATGGAATACTGTATTACCAAGCAGCTGCAAGGAAGGAAGAGGGAGGAGGAGGAGGGGAGGGAGGAAGGAAGGAAGGCTGGGGGTGAAAGAGGGAAAAATCACATGCTTGTTATTGCTGCTATTTTGAGAAAGCAAGGAGAGACCCAACGCAATGTGTCTCACTCTTCATCAGCCAACCTTGTCTTTTCTTGAATTACCTGGTTATGACAGAAAAGTCCTAGTAATTATCTCAGCTTTCCACATTATTTTGGGAATAGAAATGTGGCTTTACAAGTCAGGGCATGAATTTTCAGATGCTCATACATAGTCTTCTGTGATAATCACCAGAGAGTGTCCAAATTTGGTTTTTAAATGTCTGATATTTGCTTAACTACTTAAATACAACATGCCAGATAAACAAGAATGAAAGTTAAAAATACATACCTGCCGGCTGGCATCCTTTGGTCCTAACTGAAGTGTCCAAGCTGAGACAACATTAAATCCTTTGACAATCAGGGAATCTGGGAATAATGAAGCCAAATATTCAGCATTGGATTCTGGGTATTGGTTTATCCTCATATTATTGCTCACATCAATCAGGATTTTACCCACAAGCAGATGTCTCAGGTCCCACAGGGAGGTGTAATGTTCTCTATGTATAGCAACAAATATTATATTTGTTTTTGTCAGAGCATCTTCGTGATGAGTGACATCTACCACATGTGGAAAAAATTCAGAAGCAAACTTAGGATTCCTGCTTCCTATGACCACATGATAGCCACATCTAATCAGTCGGATGGTCAGGGATTTGGCAAAATCCCCACTTCCAATTACACCTACAGTGACTTTCCTTGCATCTTTGATACCATTTATGCCATTAGGCAAAAAAGTTTCACTAAGGTTCTTAGGGCTTCCCATCATAGAGATCGATGCCATGATACGGAATACAGACTCTTTCAGGATCACCAAGGATGTCCTAGGGAGAGAAAATAAAATGTTAACCAATAATCTATTACCAAACATTAATATACTTCTAGACATTATAATAATGTCCTTAATTTCTAGAGATAAAATATCTTGGCAAGCTGTGTAACATAGAACACAGCAAGACACAATTTATAAGGTAAGAAAATGAACTCATCACAAAGTTGATATGCTGAAATGTGCACATGACTCACCTGAGAATCTTGTTAGAACACAGATTCTGATATAGTAGGTCTGGACTGAGGCCCAAGATCCTGCATTTCTAATAGGGTAACACTGATGCTGCTGGTCTGTGGATCCCACTTGGAGCAGCAAGGCCCTAGAGCACTAAAGGAAAGAGATTGAAGTTTTCACCTAGAACTTTTTAAAAACACAGTTCTAACGAGTCTGATTACCCAGTTTCTCATCAGATCAGAGGCAGCAAATCAGCAATGCCTCTCAAGAGGACTGTGATAGGATGTGATGGCACACTAGACAACACAAGACAGAAAAACCATAAAAAAATACAGAACTATTTAAGCCCAAACTGTCTAGAATCATTTGGGGTGGAGTCTATAAATTATCCTGTACACCTCAGTACTTAATGAGTGACTTCATTATTAAATGAGAGTAAGATAAACCAGCTAATAAAAAATGAACCCCAGCACTTAAATTGTATTTTAAGGAAAGTAGGCATCAAAACACAACAAAGGATTAATTAAATACTATTGACTTTTATCATTCATCCTATATCCTATAATTTATCACCGAGAAAGATAGCTTTCCCATGAAAAGGGGTAGTAATGTGGTTATGATCTTAAATTACACAATACTTATCTTCTTCCCCTTTCATTTGTTGTCTTCATAGACCATAATGCAGTTATTGTCCCCAGTAAAATTTGTTAAATTTTTAAAATTTAAGTGACTAACATCTGGAATGTTCCTATTTGTAATATAAAATACAGAACTATTTAAGCCCAAACTGTCTAGAATCATTTGGGGTGGAGTCTATAAATTATCCTGTACACCTCAGTACTTAATGAGTGACTTCATTATTAAATGAGAGTAAGATAAACCAGCTAATAAAAAATGAACCCCAGCACTTAAATTGTATTTTAAGGAAAGTAGGCATCAAAACACAACAAAGGATTAATTAAATACTATTGACTTTTATCATTCATCCTATATCCTATAATTTATCACCGAGAAAGATAGCTTTCCCATGAAAAGGGGTAGTAATGTGGTTATGATCTTAAATTACACAATACTTATCTTCTTCCCCTTTCATTTGTTGTCTTCATAGACCATAATGCAGTTATTGTCCCCAGTAAAATTTGTTAAATTTTTAAAATTTAAGTGACTAACATCTGGAATGTTCCTATTTGTAATAACTTGCTCAAGAATCCACATCAGAAAGCCATGAATCACTGTCACTTTGGATCTGAATGAAAACATACTCATTATTCCATCCCCATTGCACAATTTCTTTTATGCTAACAGCAGATGTATATCATTTCAGAGGATTTAATGGTTTTTACAGGAACAGGTAGAATGTTTCAAAAAACATGTTTTGGGGGTTATTACCAAATGCATTTTTTATTAAATGACTGAAACAAATGAATTCAATTTCAAATGAAATTTGAAACTACTGAAGCCAGGAAAACTCAACTTTTTACCCTAGAAATGGATCACACATTCAATGACTCCAAAAAATCAGTGACTTAATCTTTAAGAAGACAATAGTAATATTATCTAGTACTCATATAATACCTCTGTGCCAGCCTGTTTGTGCTTTTTTATGTTAGTTGAATGAATCCACACAACAACCCTATGAGATAGATGCTAATCCTATCACGGACCATTTTGAGGACTGAGAGATACAGAAGACAATTAACTTGTCCAAGGTCATAGAAGAGAAAGTGAGAGAGCCAGGATTAGGACCCAGGCAATCCAGCTAAGGTATGTGTCATTTGGGTGCATTTGAGAAATTTAAGGAAGGGCTTTTTCTTTGGGTACTGGGGCCAAGTGGAACAGTTATGATTGTGCTCATATTAATGTATTTCTCCTCCTCTGGCCATGCCAATTGCTCCTGAGAATTACCTAGTGATGTTAATGTCTAACTCAGATCCTGGGAAAGGAGAACGCTCTTTTTAAATCTCTTACACACATTTCATTTCACACTTTTCAAGACAGAAGGGGTGGTAATTATCCACTTTGCCTTGGAGTGATCCCATGCATGCAGAAGGCCAGGTGGGGGTCAGAGGCTCCAGAGGGAATGAAACTGTCAACACCCTCTGAGATGTTGTGGGCTATCCTGGGAGTCAGGGGCAGTTGAAGGAACCAGAAATAATTAAATCAATGCTTCATTCAACAATTCAAGGTGAGCTGACCAATTTACTTACCCTTTTCATAAATGTTATCTAAGGGTAAAAAGGATGTTAGACTCAAACACAGGAATACAAGATTCCTATATCCCAATCCCAAGTTCTGAGTAGAGTGTAGCGTCTCCCAAAATACAAAAATGCAAAATATTTAAGAATCATGACGATCAAGGACTTTTCAAACTAAAACCAAAATGAAAGCAAAACCATATCTGCTTATTTTACAAAGCAAGTTCAAACCCTATCTGCAAATAAAAAGGTGAACAGGTAAATATGTTAGGACCTAATAATGTCACCTGTGGGCCCTTCCTTACACCATATATTTTAAACTTGTAACTCCACTCAAACATGTTTGGACCTTATGCACATTATAATTCTAATGGCAAGTTTTAACTAAACGCTTTAATGGTGTGACTGGGGCTACAAATAGGAGTTGGCCTATAAATGAGACTATTTTCATTACAGTTTTAAGGAATGTAAAAGCATCCATGAGAGAGAGAAAAAAACCTTTAAAGTACCTGAGAGGTGGATTTTTTGCATATTGTTAAAAGCATATAACAATACATATGCTTGTGTGCTATTTCATAGTTCACAAAGTTTTCATATGTCAAGTTATATTGTTCTCAAATGGCTGCAGAGTAGGTATTACACTCATCTTAAAGATGAGGAAACAGACTCAAAGAACTTGAGCAGTTTGCTTAAGAAAGTACAGTCTGTAGTGACAAAACCAGAATTCCAATATGAACAATTCAATCTCTGCTCATTGTAAAACTGCAATGCAAACATTATATGGGGTATCTTAAAATTATCTCCAAATGTTGTCTGTAACTATATTTTCTAGAAGCAAAGCTGACTTTAAATAGTTACAGTATGAATCTCAACTTAGGATAGTTTTAGGTAAATCCAAACCTATTAAGCTTAAGAATTCTAGGTATAAAACAGAAAAAATATTGAAATAATTAGAATGTTTGGATCAAAACCAACTAAAGGCCTAAATGTATTAATACTAGAGAACAAAACATGAATGGTTGCTGTGTAACTCCTACAGAACCCCAGAGAGCAGCAACCCATTTGTCTTCTGGGAAGTCTGCAGACAGGTGTGTACTGGAGTGTAGGGAAGAAGGGCCAGGAAGAGTGTCCATACCCTGTGGAATTCACCCACAAACAGACCTAAGAGTGACTCATCTCCACAAACTTTGGGTGACTATCTGGTGCTAACACAATGGGGCAAAAATCTCATCAATCAATTTATAATTTGCTAAACTACCATTTTGGATCACTTGGATAACAGTTGAGCTAGAGTTAACACTTGTGATATATTTTAAAAAATGGAATTATAAAAATTGAATAGTGTCAATATCTGAAGGTTTGCCTGCTTACAAAAAAGAATAAACATCTTCCACTGTACATTTCCACTGACAAGGAATGATTCAACTCTAATCTAAGGCAGACCTACCCTGCTATGACCCAGCATGAATTTATCCAGGCCATACTGTGCTTTGCACAGAAGAGATAAAGGACAAGAGAAGCATGGTGCTTATACTCAAGGAATTCACACTCCAGTTGGGAAGAGACAGGATTTACTTAGAATAAAAAGCAGAAAAACACTCACATCAGTTTATTATTAAGGACTAGATTGCATGAGCAGAGCACAGGTACTCTAGAAAGCCAGGAAGAAGAAATATCACATGATATTCCCTTACCTCAAGTCATTCTTTTATATATATATATGTAAATTGTATTTAAAAAATAAACTCTAGAATACACAGATCTTCTTCAAGCCAGGTTGGTGTCAGTGCACTACAAGTTCATTCTAGCTTAGAATTATAAGGACCAAAAGTGAAATTTGGCTTTCTGTGACCTTAGCTTAAAGGTATGAGGTCACTGGTTCCCAAATGTAAAGTTATCACTGGTATACAGAAATTACAAAGTCTATGGATACAGTAGGGAGTTTTTCATAAAACCATTCAATTCAGGAATTACCCTTTGAGAACATATCTTTGGTACTTTTGGGATCAAAATGTCATTTTCTTCATAAAAGGATAGTGATAATAACAGTTGTTTGAGATGGCAGTCCTGTATAGACCCCTTCCCTCCTTTACATCCCATCTAGAGATGAAATATCAAATACCAAGCCAATTTTCTGTAATTAAATGGTGATTTTTACTATCATGGATGGGTTGCACAAAGGTAATTCCTAAATTCTCTGAAATTTACATAAACAAATAAAACCCAACTGTTTATTTGTATCAAGATAATAAAGAATTTCTTTGAAGGTAGAGACTTTTTTGAGTTTTTAGCTTTCAGAAGTTCTTAAGACCTTTAGAAAACCACAGATGCAAAGCTGCAGTTCTGCTAGAATGTGATTTCCTAACACGGTGGTGGTCCAAGTGCAGTCTCTGTACCAGTGGCACTAGCATTTCCTGGAAATTTGTTAGAAACATAAATCCCAGGGCCCCGTCCCAGACCTTCTAGACCAGAAATCCTGGGGGTGGCACTCAGCAGTCTGTTTTAAGAAACCCTCATGTAATTCTAACACATGTTAAAATTTAAGAATAATGACTCTAACGTAATACATACAGTCCAACCACTATTTGCTGCTTATTTGAAATCCACTTAAGTCAGATTATTAAATTCTTTTCATCAGCTGGAACTCGGGTAATTTGTATGCATCCTTATTTGAAAATCATTTTCCAAAAATTACAAAATAGTAACTTTATTAAAATTAGAAACTATGAAGATTTATGAAAACTGTGTAGATTTTATTCTTTGTAATTCTGTGTATAAATTATCACAACTGCAAATGATTTACTGAAATTTCATACTTGACCTGAGTGTTTGTGTTCATGTTTCATAGAACCAACCAAAGAGTTTTGTGAAAAGAAATATAATAGCCTTAGAGCTAAAGTCACCTAACTCTAAGCCTTCCAGACTCTTCAAATAACCAGGAGTTTAATGAGACAAATT